CTTGGTGCTTCAAGGCTCAGGTTGGGAGCTTTGGTTGGTTGAAAATAGAAACCAGTTAAGGTTGAACAAATGCCGTTAAGATTTCTGATCATCTTTCCTTCTTTTAGGCAAGAAACAAAAGAAGCTCAGCTCTATGCTGCACAGGCACATCTTAAACTTGGAGAAGTTAGTGTTGAATCTGGTAATACATTTTCCATTTTACTCTCCTCCTAATGTCCACCCCCTGCCCCCATCTTTTTCAAATTCTTTTTGAAATCCAGCTTGATTGATGATAAGTTGTGGGCAGTTGGCTTTAAAAGGACACAGGTTTGGGTTCCCTATAGTTCCTAGGACAGTAAACAGCCTCTTCTAAATGATACTCTTAACTGAAAGTCTTTTAGTAAGTTTTTATGTGTGTGTGTGTGTGTCATTTTGATTTTTTTTTTTTATAGTCAAGGTCCTAGGGATGTTACAATAAAAAATGAAATGTAAAACAGGCACATTCTCACAGAATGGTCTGAAATTTAATATTAAATGCTATTCGTTTGTTTGCTGTTCTTTTTCTCTTCATTAGAGAATTATGTCCAAGCTGTGGAGGAGTTCCAGGCTTGCTTAAACCTGCAAGAGCAGTATCTGGATGCCCATGACCGTCTCCTTGCAGAGACCCACTACCAGCTAGGCTTGGCCTATGGATACAACTCTCAGTATGATGAGGCAGTGGCACAGTTCAGCAAATCTATTGAAGTCATTGAGAAGAGAATGGGTGAGTTAACATTAGGTATTTTCATGGTCTTGATGGATCCAGTAACTGACATTGTTAAAAAGATGGGTCCATTTGTGGTAACCTACTAATAACTTTAGCTTGTTCTTTGTAGCTGTACTAAACGAGCAGATGAAGGAGGCTGAAGGATCACCTATTGAATATGAGAAAGAAATTGAGGAGCTGAAGGAACTGCTACCTGAAATTAGAGAGAAAATAGAAGATGCAAAGGAGTCCCAGCGTAGTGGGAATGTAGCTGAATTGGCTCTGAAAGCAACTCTGGTTGGCTTGGTTTTCTTTTAAAGTTTTGATAATAGCATGTTTGATATTGTTGAAGGCATCATGGCATTAGTGTTTTATTTGTTAGGAATCTTAGTTATAACTTGGTTTCCAAGGAGGTGGAGGTCAGAGGGAATGTGAGAACTCGTATCTTATTCCTGTCAGATAGTTTAATGCTCAAGAAAATACACTGTGGAGCCAGACTCTGGGTTTGACTTTTGTCTCTGCTATTTACTTAACTACATGTGACCACAGGTGTGTTTACCTAACATTTCTTTGCCTTAGTTGACTCATTTGTAAAATGGGCATGATAGTACCTGTATGTTAAAATACATCTGACAGTGTAAGTCAATTTTTTTTTTTTTTTTTTTTAAGTAATTTTAAGCTTGTTTCTGTCTCTGAGAACTCTGTATATTGATTAGTGAGGTTGTATTGAAGGCTTTTAACCTTAGATTGCCTGGCTCTGCTTTTGGGTGCTAGGATGTAAGCTTCCTTTCTACCCTGCAGGTGATGAAAGGAAATAGAGGATTTAGTTTAGTATATGTGCTGCCGAAGCGAGCACTGGAGAGTTTAGTTTAATATCTACACTCTGCCTATGCCCCAGGTATGGATAGAGGGAGGTGGACAATGTTGCTACTTATATGGAGGCAGCTAGTATTTGAGGTCTTAATCAGTTTCTTGGATTGTGCTACCTAATGTAGGACTGTGGGTGACTTAGTGGATTCTGTCCTGGAACCCATTGGGGTTTGTCATTTTTCATAGGTAGAGAGCTCTACTTCAGGTTTCACTCCTAGTGGAGGAGGCTCTTCAGTGTCCATGGTGAGTATTCAGGTGGTTTTGTTTGTTTTTGCTACTTAATATTAAGCCTCACTGTTTGTCGCATATATAGCTGTACATTGCTTAAAAAAAAGGGTTCCTTTTTGCCAGATTGCCAGTAGAAAGCCAACAGATGGTGCTTCCTCATCAAATTGTGTGACTGATATTTCTCACCTTGTCAGAAAGAAGGTAAATATATGTGTGGTCATCTCTTTCTTACTCTCACGATTTGGTTGCTGTTCAGATGTACTCAGCCCCCCACCCCAACCCTCCATTAGAAAGGCCGAATTGGTGTGTTGGGACAGACCAGTTCTGCAGAGTACAGGCTGGCATCTGTCTAGGGAGAAACCCTTAGAGCTATATGAATCCTGTTCAAGATCTTTGCACCATGAGGGAGGGGGAGCATTAAGGGCTTGTTTTACACTTCTTTTAAAAACATTAAGTGTATTTGTGAAGACTTCACAATTCTGTCTTTAGAGGAAACCAGAAGAAGAGAGCCCCCGAAAAGATGATGCAAAGAAAGCCAAACAAGAGTTGGAAGTGAATGGAGGCAGTGGGGATGCGGTCTCCAGTGGAAATGAAGTTTCGGAAAACATGGAGGAGGAGGTGGGCAGTTAAGCAGGGCTTGGACTCTTGCCTCATTTCCCCTTGTTCTCAGGCCTGGGGAAACCAGTCCTCCCAAGTGCATGTTCTCACCTTGAGCCTGTTTGGATTGCTTGAGTGCAACAGGAAACAGTTTGGTTATGGAATGTAGGACGTCTCACTGACAAATGTAAACTTTATACATAGCACACAGGTCCCCCTCTAATGAATGTAGGGGAAGATACTTAATGGCAAAACCATTGGGTCACTTCTGCTTGCTCTTTTCCATGTTTGAACATTGGCTCTGCCAGCCCTGTTAGAGAATTTAAGAAATGGCTTTTATATTTTGGTCATTGCCGTGTTAGTGTAAGGAGCAAAGTGGAGTTGAGGGGACCTGTGTTTACTTCCTCTGACTGAAGCCTACTCGTTGTAAAAGATAGAATGGCTTAAAGTAGGGTCACTTATGCCCAGGCTCCCTGTTTATCTTCCAGGCTGAGAATCAGGCTGAAAGCCGGGCAGCAGTGGAGGGGACAGTGGAGGCTGGAGCTACAGTTGAAAGCACTGCATGTTAAGAGGGAGCAGAGCCTTCCTCCCAAGGGAAAGTGTTTTGTATATAATGTATTTTTTCACTTTTGGGGGATTCTTTTTGTATAACTTCAATAAAGATTGTAAGCAAAGGTTGAGGCTTTGATTTTTTTTTCCCCTCTTAAGTATTGGCTGAATCTGTGCCTTGGAGCACTTGTGTTTTATATAGTGGCCAAAGGTACTCCCCACTCTGTACTATCTCTGGAAAGTTATAATAATCCAAATTCCTGTCTGTTTAATGTGGAGGTGATCAGGTGTGGTTGCCAGCCCTTTGTCTTTCAATGGTGCTATTTTTGTTTTAAATACTTGACTGAACCCAGCTGTCTTGCAAACTTTCAGTGGTGCTGTCCCTGGATGGGAGCTATAAAAACAAGACTTGGTGAAGATCTTGCTCTTTGGTGCTGATACTGTATGATGGACTCTGAGCTGATAACAGCCTCTAAGCCAAGTCTTGAATGGTACCAAGTAGTCTCCAACTGGGGCCATACTCCTGTTCTAGTAAAAGAACTCTGAGGAAGACTTGGGGGTGGGGTAGTCCTTGAGGAAAACTGGTGTGCTCATTGTAGAGAATTGAGATTTCTGGTTTGAAAGTGGCTAAGGGACTGACTACAGTGGACACTTGGATGTGGTTGGAAGAATCTGGGGAGGCTGGCTGGTTGAGTTATATTATTTTCTGTACAAAGAAAGTTGAAATATATCAACGCTAAACTGTTACCTGTCTGCAGTTTTGACTTCTCAAATAAAGATGTTATAAAAAGCTCCTGGTCTGGACTTGGTGTTTAAGATCTCAGTGGGATCCTAGGCTACCTGGGACATTTTAGTGTGGAATGTGTGGTTTAAAAGTGGAAACTGGCTGCCCAGTCTAAAGGTGCTGGTTCTCATGGCACCTGTACTAAAGCCATCCCATTGGGTCCTCACTGATGTTCAAGGTACAGGGCTAGTGTGAAGAGTGAGCTGCCTCTGACCTGATCCTTAATTTAAGAACCTATGTACCAGGCACTAGAAACTGAATTCCAAACTGCCTGCCCTTCATTACCCAAGGGGATTTGATAATTCTGACACCCACAGGGCAACTTTACTACAAGGACAGACAGGTTAGTACCCAGTGTCAGGCAGGGGTAGCCCTGCCATTTCAACCAGTTTTTTCAGATGATATTTTGTTCTCCAAGGACCAGTACAGGTCTGTGGCCTGTTAGGAACCAAGGCCGCACCACAGGAGGTGAGTGGCTGGCAGGCAAGTGAAGCTTCATCTGTATTTGCAGCTGCTCCACAGCGCTAGCATCACCACCTCAACTCCACCTCAGATCATTAGGCATTGGATTCTCATAGGAACACCCGTCCCTGGTGTCACAAAGGTTGGGGACTGCTGCTCTAAATAATAAAATAGTTGTGGAGTTTTTCTGGGCTGGTTATAACTTGTGGCTGCAGAATCTGGCTGTGAACTAACCGACGATGCCCTTGTACTGCAAGTCTTGAGGCTTTTGGGGCGTCGAGGGTGTGTCAGGCCTACAGTCTTTACTCTCAGGCCTTTGACCTTTGGTCAACATCGGTTTATGGCTAGATTTCACATGTGACACCCCCACGCCACTTGGGAGGAACATTGGGTTAGGGCACTGCCCTGGAATCTAAAGCTACAGAAGTTTCCTGTTTATGGGGACATCGAGAGCCTGGAAGGCTTCTTGGAGGATGTCCTGAGAAAGCATGGGTTCAAATGAAGTGCGGCAATAAAACTGGATTTAGCCAAAAAATCCAGTTTATCAAGTTCCTTTAGCTGGAATCGAGTGTCTCACAGAATTTTGTATGTGCCAGGTTATACTGCAAGCACCCAACATTTAATCTGTTTTACAAAGAAAAAACAGGTAAAGAAAGGCCAAGTACTTGTGGAAGGTGGTATAGCTCTGGCTGGAGCTCATATTTTGTCTTCTGTTTGCTTCTAGATTCAGAACAGTAATAAAGCTTAAGGCCTCACTAGACCCTAGTCCTGTACATGTAAAGCTATTCACATCCACATTCTGAACTCAAAAAGCTGAGGTGGGAGGTGGGGAGGGTCAAAGCAGTGGTGCGGGCCTAAACCCTTATCTCTACCTTTGACTCTGCTGCCAAGGGGGCTCTTCTGCAGAAGGAGGGGGGTCAACAAAGCCCCCTGTTGGGGCAAAGGAACTGGCTTCCAGTGAAGATGAGCTGGACACCTGTGGAAAAGGGAAAACGCAGATCTTTAGCAAAAGGTTTATGCAGAGGTTAACAGATTCTAGGGTCTTAATAAGTTTCAACTAAACCAAGTTAACCCCCATTGTGTTCTGATTTCCTTATTGGTTTACTTAATACCTAATGGGATGTGTGAGTCACCTGAATTAGTCCACAGAAAGCATTTGGTAGTGATTTGGCACACAGTGGTCAACAAAGGCTGGCTATGAACCAACCATACCAACTATACCCATGCTGTCCTTATCTCTGAGCCCTTACCACAGGTGGGTACTGGTACTCGTGGGCACTTGCTGGATTGATTTCTGCCAGTGTCTGGACATCTGCATCTCTGGCATTCACCATCCGTAAAAAGAGCTCAGCCTGACCTACCTGGAAAGAGGTGAAATGGTACTGCACCTGTACCTTTTGAGTATATTCGGTTCCCATTCATACTCACCTGGGGAATCCCATTCAGCTTTCCAAGGCTAAGGCTGGGGTCCAGAGGAAGGGCCCGAAGTGGGAGACGCCAACAGCCACTTAGCACCCTCTGATCCTGGTCAAAGAGCACTAGTGAGGCCCAGGCCTTCGGCTGTGGTGCCCTAGCCCCTGCCAGCCCGTGCCAGACATGTAGCTCACAGACCAAGGATACTGATGGTGAGGGTGGCAGTCTAAAATGAAAAGAAGCCAAACTGGCTATAGTCTAGAGCTTGGCCCTCAGAGCCAGTGGCCCTCTAGACAGATGAAGTAATTTGTGGCGAAGATCACCAAAGTCATAGTCCCATCTACTGACCTGGGTACAGGCTGCCTGCTGGCAAGAATGGCACAGTTACCCATGGGCCCAGGAGCTGGAGGTGGGGGCAAGCAAAGGGCTGGGGGCAAAGTTGTGGTCCCTCCTGTATGCCGTCCATCTCGGGCCAAGCCAGTCATTAGTTGCACCCAAGTCCAAGAAGCTTCAAGGCCACGCAGGAAGTCATAGAAAATGACCAGGCCAGCCCTGTGGAACACAGGTCTCAGTGTACCTACACATACACACACCTCACCCCTACCTACCCCACCCCCAGCCAGTTCCCCAACCTTAGCTGGACCTAGTGGGTCTCCTTAACCAGCAGCGGTGACTAAGTTACAAAGGGAGGGAGCAGGCCTCACCCTGGGTCGTAGGGTGCAGGGCCCAGAACGTCAGTTGTGGGCAGGAGGAAGTGTGGATCCAGGCCCAGGTTCCTGGTCATGGCTCCAGGAAGCTGTGACTAGGGAAGAGTTTAGTCCTCCAGGAACCCTCCTAGGTGTCTGTGCTACCCCAACTGCACAGAGCAGAGCCCTGCCCCTGCCCCATGCCGTGGGTCCTCACAGTCTTTTCTGTGCCACCCAAGAATAGGACGCCTGTAGAGTGTGGAAGCGGTGGCAGTGGGGGTGCCACTGGAGGTGGGAGGCACGGGGGATTGTCCCTCCATCTCAGATGTGGGCTGAGACTGGCCACAAGTCGAGGTTCCCTGGGCCCTAGGTGCAGAGGAAGAGTAGGGCTCCCCTAAGCAGGACACAGCAAGTAGCTGGGCTGAGATACCACTCTCCTGATAGCTGAGTGTGCACACACACAAACACACACACCTGGAGATATGGATGAACACAGACTGGCAGGGCACAAACACGAGTCTCATTCCCCATGCGTAGTTCCTCTAACCCCTTCTTCTAACCCCAGCCTGCTGGGGACAGATAGGTGGGGTGGGATTGGGGGGGTGCTCACTGACCCCAGGGCACCTGGCCTACACGTGTCTGCATTTGCAAAGCCAGGATTTCCGCCTCCAGGCGCTGGTTTTCGGCCTCCACTACTAGAAGCTCCCCAAATGCGGGACCTGCTGGTCTTCCTGCGATGAACAAGTCTGATTTGTCACCTTTGTCCTCTGGTGACCAGCTGGTCCGGCTCTGAGCAGCTCTCCAGCTTTACTGCTTTGGACAAAGCTGGACTTGTCAGCTAACATTCTAACCACGGCCTCGAAGAGCACCCAGGTTTTCTACCTTGGGGCTTTTGCTTAGGTGGTTACCATGAGAAACATGCCCTCCATCACCTCCCTTCTCTCCTCCCAGGACTAAGCCCACTGCTTCTGAGAGGCCCTCCTGGCTGGCCCCTCCTGTTCACCCCTGCGGGTTCGAGACCGTCGAAGCTCCAGAGCTGATGCCTCCACTTGCAACTGCCGTATCTGGCCCAGAACTCCGGGATCCCGGCCCCCACCTTGAATGTAGGCTTCATGCAGGGCCCTAGGGAGTAGGGAACAAGAAGGCAGCAGCATCTTTCCAGGACTGATCAGTGCTTCGTCCATGCTCGTCTTCCGGCCCCAGACCTCACCTGATCTCAGCAGCCAGGGTCCCTGGGTTGTCTTGTAGCACCGGACGACAGAATTCTGCCTCTTGCAAGTTCAGCCGGGTCCTGGAGTGGAGCGCGACCGGCCGGGAGACCGCGTCACGGATTCAGACCCCCGGACTCTGGCCGACCCACCCCTTCCCGAATTCACACGGGCTGCCTTCCCGCCGTACCGGGACCCAGCCTCAAGTGTCCCGCCCCACAGGCCTCGCCCCACCAGACCCCGGCGCCGTCCGCAGGCCCACGCCGCGCGGCTCCGGGGTCCCGCGCGCCTGGTCTCACCCGGCCTCGGGCTGTGGCTGCTGAATGCGCGTCCCTAACAACTCCAGAGCTCCCCTTGTACGCCCGGCCTCTGTCCGGAGTTCTCGAAGCTCCCGCTCCAGGCCTAACAGGCGTGATATACCGCCCCGGGCTCCTGCCAAACCTCGGAGGCGCCGGTTCAGTTCTGAGTAAGGGACCATGTGAAAATGAGTCTGAGCAACCTCAGTCTAAGGGGCGAGGGACGGGGTGGGGGTGGGTCCCTAATCCCCCCCACCCCCACCTTTCCCCTCACCCTCGCTGCGTAACTCCAGGGTCCGGCTCTGTGCCTCCATCTCCGCAACGCGCGTCGCGTGAGTCCGGTGCAGCTTCCGGAGCCGCTCGCCGGGGCTCCCAGCAGCCTCGGAGGAGGGGCCCAGAGTTGGCTCCTCTGAACGCCTCCAGGGTCCCCCTGAATCCCTGGCAATCTCTGTTATCCAGGGACGCATCTCCTGCAGGTACAGCCGCAGCCGCTGTACCTGGAGATAACAGTAATCCGCTATGTCCGATCTCCGTGTAGGGTTAACCTGATTCATGCACAAGCTATAAGTTTGGGGAGCATGCTCAGTTCCGAGCGTGTGGGTAAAGCCAGGTGTACCTCCTCTGTTAGCCTCTTTAGAGCCGACTTGCTGGCCTCGTTTTCTGGGAGGCCCTGGTATTCTTGTGGCACAGTCTAGGGACAGGGTGTGGAGTGAAGAATCCTGAGGGTTAGGGTCGCTTGAACACCCCCACCTGGCCATGGAGGATCCCCTTACCATGAGGCCTTGTGGGTCAGTGGCTTTTGAGGGCTGTACTCCAAGGGTTACTTCCCGGGTCAGACGGCCAATGCAGAAGCGCTGCGTGTGGGTGGCCAACAAGGCCCAGGAACGAAAAACCATGTCGCAGGACCCACAGGGCAGGAGTCCTGGCTCCCCGGAGTGGGAGGCCATGGGATAGAAGCCTTTCTCTGATACCAGCCAAGACCTGCAAAAGATAGGGAGGGCAGAGAGCAGGAGAGATAAGAAGATGAAACAGCCAGAGGCAGAGAGGAAAAGCCAGGTTTATTGGGTCTACAATATCGTTTGTTTGGGGAGGAGCCTTAGCTGCCTGGGCAGCGATTACAGGCCTGGGCAGGTCTGGAGAATGGGTGGGGAAGGTTTGGCCACCTTTGGGAGGATCTCCTGGCTTGAAAAAGTGTCACAAGTCTGCTTTGCCTCATTGCATGAACATGGGTACGTCTCTAACACTACACCTCAGTTTTCCTGCCTATATTAAAATAAAGGGAAACAAACAGCTGCCTCCTAGATTATCTAGGTCTACATCACATACTTCATCATAGGGCATTTAATAGGGTCTGGCAAGGAAGTGTCATCTTGTTCTACTCGTTTTGCTCAAGTGGATGTAACCCAAGTTAGTGTCATTCTCCATTCCTGGAACACCTGGGAGAGAAGGCGGTCTGCCTTTAGGAGCATTCTTGCCAGGAAACCGTAACTTTTTACTTCTGTAAAAAGCTTTTTCTTCTTCAAGTTTTAAATGAAAGCTGTATGTAAGATTATTTTATTCCTGCATCTTTTCAAATGTTTCCTGCTTACATTTGCCCCTTTCCTTTCCTACTTGGCGAGATTTTGCTCTACATTCAAGGGCCTTTATGCGGTCTTTGTCCAGCCTTAGTTTAGTAGTAACCACCTTGCTAGGGTGAATGCCCACATGAACAGGTGTGTCAGTAGCCTTCTCCCACTGCACTCATTCAGTGTAGATGACATATTTCTTCCTGTAAACCTGGACTACTTTGCCAATTTGCTTCCCTTTGTAGTGTCCTTGCATAACCTAAACTTTACTATTCTTTCAGATGAGCACGGGTTGAACATTGTCTATCTCAGCTCTTTGGAAAGAGAATAACCTTCCCGTGAACGTGGGAAGGTGCATTCAAATATCTTTTATGGTTCTTGCTCCCATCAGAAGTCATGAAGGGATTAAATTTCATTTTGGTCACTGGCACTTTAGCAATGACCACAGAAAGCTTTGTTTCTATTTGGTCCAGAGTGTGGGAGAGGGCTCCAGGGTGTTTAAAAGGCTTAGTGGCTGCAGGGAGAGGCGTAGGCAGAAGCCTGGCACCAGAGAGATGCACAGGGGCCCCCACAAGGCTTCTGGACTCCAAAGGATCCTAGTCATGCTTGAGGGTGAGCCTCTTGAAGATCCTCGCTCAGCCTAGCCTGGAGACCAGCTGGCCTGCGGAGTTTACTCAGGTGGTTGCTCCATCTTATTGATGAATTTCACCTCATCTAGGAAGTGAATCTCCAGAAAGTCAGGCATGGGGGTGGTCTATATGGACAGAACTCCGGGCACACAGGTCTGAAAGGGCCTGGTTCAGGTTCTTCTCCATGGTTGCTTCCATGGCATCCTGAGTTTTACCCCACATATCTCAGAAAGGCTTTTGCATGTCCTGGAAGAGGGGTGCACCCACCGCGCTTGTTTTGCGTCTTTGAGAGCTACTTAATGGCCTCATGCTGCTTCTCAGCCAACTCGGGAAGTGGCCTTTGCCCTCCAGAGTCTCATCGTTGAGTCAAAATAGAAGCCCAGAGAAAGGTAAGTATAGGTGGCCTGCAGATGTAGGCTGACCATGGGGTTGACAGTGGCCTCCACCTTGGGATAGTTCTGATGAAATCTGGGAACTCATGGTTGCTCTGCAATAAGGAATTAAGCTAAAAAAAATGGACGGCAAGGATCACTAAGACAGTTCCAAAAGTTGTGGCTGGAAAATAGGCTTTTGGGTGGTTGGAGGATGCGAGAAGGGGAGTCAGTGGGTCTGTTCCATCCAAACAGTTGAAGAGACAGATCCGCTGGACCGAGTGCACCACCATGTCTTCTCCCTAGACTGAAAAGCTTTTCCTTGCACTGGGCCACAGCTTTTTCATAACAAAGTCCCACCAAGGCTAGCCGGCTCTCAACTCATTCCTTGATTCCCATTTTTCCCGCTGTAAAGGGAGGATAATCAGCACAGCACAAGAAATGAAAAGTTCTGAGAAAAAATGAGTCTACCAGGTGAGAGAATCAAGAAAAAAAAAAGGGATTCAGAAAGGTACCTCTTCACTCGACAGGCCAGGAGCCAAGAAGACCCTTTTATGCTGGCCAAATTTCCCTGCTACTTCCCCAGATATATGTATACATCAGAGGTAGGAGCTTTGAGGTATCCGTTTCTAAACCAGTCCCCTTTTCTAAACAAAACAGGGACTTATGGTAGTCTGTCCCCCACCATGTAATGTCAAGGTATGACCAACGGCAGCAAGGTGCAAAGTGTTTCAAAAGATGTGATCTCTGTCCGGCTTAATTCCAAGTGAGAAAAAGGGTACATTTTTAGGAATTCGTTCTGAGAAAGCTAGTAAGTGGTAAGGCCCAAGACCAAAGAGGCAGGATTCTCTCTCTTAACCTACTCATTTCCAGTTTAATACTTTTGCAACAGTTCATTTTATAATACAATCACATGCCACTTAATGAGAATGTTCTGAGAAATGCCATGTTAGGTAATTTCGTCCTTCTGCGAACGTCACTTACACAAACCTAGATGCTATAGCCTACTATACACCTAGGCTGTATGGTACATAGCCTGTTGCTCCTAAGCTACAAACCTGCATATTACTGTACAAAAAAGATTAAATCAAACACAAGAGAAAAATGAGACTCGGTAAGTATGAGATGAGGCTGCTGCATGACACAGCATACTATTTTTTAGCAAATGTTTTTCTTATAAGTAGTAAGAGTATATTCTAAAGTACTGATAAAAAGTATAGTAAATACATAAAGTAGGAAGTTCTTTATCAAGTATTTTGTACTGTACATAACTGTATGTGCTATACGTTTAGATGACTGGAAGCACAGGTTTACACCAGCATCACCACAGACATGTTGGTAATGCATTGTGCTTACATTATGATGGCTATGTCACTAGGTGATAGGAAATTTTCAGCTCCACTATGATGAGACCACCATCATATATATGGTGTCACTGACTGGAACATTAGTGGCATACGACTGTATTTTAAGATGCAGGAATGTTGGCCATGCTACCCTGAATGTGCCTGATCTCATCTGATCTTGTAAGCTAAGAAGGGTAGGGCCTGTTTAGTACTTGGATGGGAGACCACCTAAGAATAGCAGGTGCTGTAGGTGTTAAAAAAAAAAAAAAAGATGCAAGAATGTCAAGTTTTTTTGTATTAGTACATAAAATGTCTTTAAAAACATATATTCATTGAAGTATGATATAGTTTTTACTGTTGTATCTCAACCACCATTTCCACAGCTTGCACACACACTGCTTATACCACCAGCAGTAGAGACTCTAATACAGTACAGCAGATAGGGAGGTCTCTGCCTTCCTAACCTTTATAATCTAGCAAATGTCATTCTGGTGTCTGTATTTAGTCTGTACCCTTTTGGGAGCCCACACTTCTAGTTATCATTCTAACATGAAATCAGGCCTGCTTATCTCCTATTGGAGTATGATCTTGGACCTGTATATGCACTAGGGACTATGTACTATAGGGACAGCCAGAGAGTGCCAGTGTCAGTAAATGTCTGTTTGCCTTCTGCTCATCTATCAGATCTTGGACTGAGGTTTCATTTTTAACATAACTGTTTATTCTTTTCCCTACTGGCCTGGGTATCTTTATATGCCCAGAGCCTTGCCCAGTGCCTGGGACACACGAGAGCTTGGAAAGTATTTGCTGAATGAAAAAACCTGCCTCCTTCACTGGTCACCCAACAAGCACTGGCTCAAACCCATTCCCCCCATGTTCTTATTTAGCAGGAAAATTGAGGCACAGACCTTCCTTATAATATGTACATTGTTAAGGACACAGGCAGTGAAAAACAGTTTCAGGAATGACTTGGGTTTCTGATTTCATTACTGATAATTTATTGCACAGGTTTTTCTGCATCAAAAAGTATCCACTAAAAGCAGAAATGGTGTGTCTGAATTCGGATCTCCTTCAGACTGCTGAAAGTATTTTCCCATGAAAAAGAACCTACTCATCTAATTTGAAAGAAAATACACTTACACAAGACAATCCAAACTGATGCAAAATATTTATTCCAAGTTAGTTATTTTATGCAGTAGTTTCCCCCTCAAGACTTGTGATAGCCACATCTTTTAAATCTGTAAATAATGTTATCAAAATAATCTTAATCTTTGAAATCTCACAAAAATTTATATTTTACAATCCACCCTGAATATCAAGGCTGCAAGAATAACACATTTCCTATATCCAAATATTTTACAGCTGTACCCAAAAGGAAAAAGAAGAAAAAAAAAAAAAAAAAAAAAAAAACCCACATATGCATGGTTAAGGGCTAACGTTACCCAGCAGCCAAAAATAAAATAAAATATCCAAATTATTAGCATTAATTTAATACAATTATAACTTCAATAGTCACTTTGTCATTGACAATGATTGTTTGAGCACAGGGGTGAGTGCCCCAAGGGCTGGTGGAAGCTGTTGCTGCAGACCAGTGTCTCCTCCTCCCTGCACTGCCAGCTCCCACCTGTGCATCGCCCCATATATACTGTGTGTGAGTGTGTATTTAAAAATTCCCACCACACAAATTTCTCTGTATGAAGCAGATAACAGGGAAGAACAACAAAAGCTAAACAAGCCAACTGCTCTCTCTTTGGGATATGATTATTTCCCTTGTGCATGAAATATTCGACAACATAAGAAAAGGAAAGAAAGATTTCTTTTGTATATCCCCTAAGCACAAGAGCTGAGTTTATGGGTTAGATTTAACTGCCTACTTCCAGGCATCATCATCTGATGTTTCACTGCTACTGGTTTCCGTTTCTGAGTCCTCAAACTCTGCTTTACAAGTGCTTCTCCAAGAGGAGAATAGGCTGGAACTGCGGCTCTGCAAGAAGCCATTCTTCCCAAAGCCATTTCTTCTCAGCTGTAGTAACCATAGGAAAAAAAGAAAAAAAACAAAAAAACATCAATAAATACATTGGCTCACAGGAGCTAGGAAAGGCCAGGCCCCAGAGAAGAAACAAACCAAACATCAATAACCACACTGGTTCATGGGACCCAGAAAAGGCTGGGCCTCATTTCAACTTTAGGCAGAATGTAGAGGGAGACCCTCTGAGATTGAAGATTTCTTATAGCAGTGCTCATGAAACCTTAATGTGCAAATGAATCATCTAAGGATGTATTTAATATGCAGATTAAGAGTCAAAATAATTGGGGTAGGGTTTGAGATTCCCTATTTCTACAAGTTCTCAAGTGATGACAATGATGGCGAAACAGTTCTGAGTAGCAATCTTTGTCAGCCTGCATTTTCTTTTTATAGGACTTAACACAATTGTTATTTATGCTTTAAATATGTACTGCTAGACATAAGATCCATGAGGTTTGTAGAGACCCACTGGTCTTGTTCATTGTTG